AATCACAACCTCATTCCAATGTTCTTTTTTCAAACTTTATTTTCCTACAATTTTTCGTTCGATTCGATATTTCACGATATGAATATCCATTTGGAGCAATTTAAATTTTTTTAAAAAAACTTAAAATGTGATAATAATAAATATATTGTCGATTAAGTTCAAATATAAAAATTATCTTAAATTATTTAACGTAAAATCATAATTTTCCTTTTTCTACCCACCCTAAAAAAACTTAAAATGTGATATGCAAGGCCTCTAAAGGTTTGTACTTCAACAAAATTGAGGAAGAAAGAAGAAACAACAATATTTTGGTAGTTTGTTAGTATGGATGTTTTTAAATTTGAATTGATTTATATTGGTTGTTTATGATGAATAATTTCCCATTTTATTTCTAACTCCTTTTTGTTTATTTGTTTATTTTTCGCTGTAATTTTAAGGTTTTCTATTGAAGAAGTTTTGTTAAATAAGATTTAATTAGTGATTTCTCCAAAAATAACCAAAAATCGGTCAACGCTATTACGTAGCCAACTTTACTACGGCACGTGCCTTGCACGTGCGTCTGACTAGTTTTAAGAAAAGAGTTACAAAGCAAAATAGAATATGGCCAAGTCTGTACTGGGCTGAAAAATGCAACATCTCCCCCATATCCAGTCATTTATCTATATATACTTTGATAAAAAAAACTTTTAAAGGTCAGTAACATTTTGAATACCCCACGATTTATGGAGATTTCTATAAAATTTTAATTGTACACATTGTGAGTTTTAAATACTTTTTAAAAGTCTATATTGAATACATTAATATTTTTAGAGAGTATTAAAAAGTATACATAAATATCCTTAAATTTTTCAAAACCTTAAAAGTCTTTAAAAATCCAAATTGAATACATCCCTAATAGTGTAAGGAGACATTTGATCTTTTTATACAAAATATTAAAAGTTTTGAGTAAATTTTTCATTTCTAAAGATTTGGTGATGCGTCAACTTCAACTTCATCTCCAGAATTCATTTTATTGGATATCAGATAATCATAAGAATAAAAACTTAGGTCAAAATTAAATACATTAATCTAAACATATGGCAGGCAAAAGCAATAATTAAGGAGCCCATTTGGTGTTTGGTCACATATCATAGTGGGGGTAAAGTTTTATCTTTTTCAAAACGTTACACGATCCACCTACTCTGTTTGATTTGGTTAATTATCAGATGTTAATAATTTTTGATAAAAAATGATGAAACATGTGATTGAAAAGTTAAAAAAAGTCACGTATCTCATAAAATTTGTGATTTAAAAAGAGTTTTAAAAAATTGAGATCAAATACGAACTTAATAGGTTAAATAAAATTTGATGGCAACAAATATGAACTTAGTAGGTTAAATAAAATTGATGGCAATAAATTATCATTGTGTTCAATCGAAAAGGTTTTTACTACAATACTTAGAAAATCACTAGTGTGATGATTGTTCATGCGTCTATGTAAAGGATTAATGAAAGCAAAGGCCCATGAGTAACTTGTAAGCAAAACATGAGATGGAGGTCATAACAAAAATAGAATGAATTATTGCAATACTAAAATGGAGAAATTTTTTAATGGAACGATTTACATGTACACGTAATATGTTCGTTCATTTAAATTACGACCCTTTGGACCTTGAAATATTCAAAATGCAAAATCTCAACATTCGAGTTCATATGTATCATAATTTGAATGAACGATCATACCACATGTGAACATATAACTGTCTTATCGAAACTTCTTGTCACTAATTAAGACATCAAGGCTATAATCTCTAAAGAAAGCTGTTGAAGTAATTTTAATATCTATACATGATTAAATAACTTGCCAATGTCAATTTTAAACAATAAAAAATTATTATTATTATTATCTTTTTTACTTATAAGTAAACCTTTAGGCTTTACCAAACATGGTCCAAGCAAATTGGCTTTAAATTTATAAAACTCTCAAGTATTGGTTCTAAACAATTTTATCTCAATAATATTTTTTTGAAAGACAAATTTAAATCATGATATGTGGACAAAAAAGTGAAAGGTTATAAAAAAAATATAACAAAATTTATCATTTATCCAATATAATTTATTAGTATAACTTATCAAACATGTCTTGACTGCATATTCACAATCCTTTGATTTCTCGCTAGTATTTTGTTTAGCCCTTGTTCGGTCTCCAATTTAATGTAATTTTGGAAGAAAATGTATTTAATTTTTTTTTAAATGTGTAATTAAAAGATAAGAAAAAAGTTTGAATTAACGTGTAATATTATTTTATGTAAAAATATGTAATTAAAAATAAATTTGAAAAATGTATTTTAGAAATAATGGAGCCCAAATAGGAAATTAATGAAAACAACAAATATTGCGTGACACAGTCCAACTAGATACAATCAATAGTAACCCGTTCAAGGTTTCAAACACGGTAAAGAACTAAATGTGAGGGGCTTGCGCATGGTAAGAATTCTAATCGAAAACTTTATAGTTGCACTCAAAGTCTCTCGGTGAAACCCACTAAACACGAGGGTTCTGTACATTGTGAGACTTTGCCCTATTTGGTTTGGTTAAACATTATATTTTTAGTAGTTTTTGATAAAAAAAAAAATGATGAAATGCATCTTTAAAAAGTTGATAAAGTTGTTGGTCCCATACAACAGTGGTTAAAAATGAATTTGGAAAAAATAAATTTTAAAAAACTTGGGCCAAACAGGACTTAAAGCAGAACCTTACTGTGCAGATCAAAGAAAGCTATGCTTTACCAGTAACCACCTATATTTAGGTTCTTGAAGTGAAAATTCTACTGGTCTAACCTTGATTATTATGGAAATTCGAAAACATGTCCACTTTTACATGGTCATTCGCAAAAAAATCCAAAATTAAATTTCTTCAATGTTAAATTTACTATAATATAGACCAAAATGCACCCATTAACAATTTTAAATTCTACAATCAAGACAAATTTATTTATATAATTAAAAATTGTAT